GGCACCCTCCCTTTGGGGATTGATGAGCATTGATGAGATCCCCCCTCAGTCTTCTCTTCTCCAGACTGAACAGCCCCACGTCCCTCAGCCCTTCCTCACCAGAGAGATGCTCCAGTCCCCTCATCATCTCCGCAGCCTCTGCTGGACCCTCTCCAGCAGTTCCCTGTCCTTCTTGACCCGGGGAGCCCCGAACTGGACACAGTGCTCCAGATGTGGCCTCACAGGGGCAGAGCAGAGGGGGAGGATGACCTCCCTCCACCTGCTGGCCACACTCTGCTTGATGCCCCCCAGGATGCCATTGGCCTTCTTGGCCACCAGGGCACGTTGCTGGCTCATGGGCATCCCGTTGTCCCCCAGGACTCCCAGTTCCCTTTCCACAGAGCTGCTCTCCAGCAGGTCACCCCCAACCTGTACTGGTGCAGGGGGTTATTCCTCCCCAGATGCAGTACCCCACACTTGCCCTCGTTGAATTTCATAAGGTTGTGCTCCTCTCGCCAAAACCTGGCACACAGGATCCTGGTGCTGCTCAAGGCTTTCGGGGAGAGCGCGGGAGCGGGCAGAGCTTGTGTGGGAATTGTACATAAGAGGTTAAAACCGCTGATGTCCGCTTATCTCTCGTGCGAACCCTGTGGGTGGAGAAGCAGCCGAAGGAGGAAATCTTGCGGTGGCAGGACGGTACTGTTTTGGCTAAAGATTGCAGGACTAAGCAGATAAACACTTTCAGCACAGACTCTTGAAGGTCACGGCGCTCAGAGTGAGACCTTTTGCTTGATTATCCGTGAAATGAATATTAAAGTTAACATCCTTGAATATGATAATGAGCTTAATGAAGAACATGCTAAACATATATGACCATAGTACTCGACTCTCCACCCAAATGATGTTAAACGTCACTCCAGAGAGGGGAACAGATAAGATTAGGATATAAAGGACACTGGGGAAAGTATCTCTGAGGGAGAGAAGAGACTAGAGGTGTAGAAGAGGGGGTTGATGGTCTGTGCTCCTCTTCCTCCCCACAAGACAGGGACGTGGTCTTGGTAAGCGTTGCGCCTTCACCTCGTGGTGAGGGATACCCGGGAGCGCGCTTATTTTGTTGGCACTATCGTTGCGTATTAGCGCTGTTGCACCCAGTGTGCGTATCAATGGCAATTCCAAATCTGTTCTACCCGTCACTTCAATAAACCATCTATTTTTCAACTTTGCAAAACTCTCAGTGACGGTCCTTGGCGGGGCTCTGAGACAGGCAAACGCTGAACTGTCTTGGTGAAAGTCCTTGGAGGGGCTCTGACAGACAAACTTCAAACTGTACCCGTAACACAACAGCTCCGCATCGAGACAGCTCTGTTTTTTCTTCCCTACAGCCTAAACCCAGAGTGCCGCAGCCCATCCTGAGGAGCAGGACACAGCAGTCAGTCCCATCTCCTGCCGGGAGTGTCCTTTCACCCCAGAGCAAACAGTGAGTGAGTACCGGGGCTGCCACCTCTCCCCATGCCACCCTGGCGATCGCTGTGGCCTCAGCCATCCCACGGAATTCCAGCTACACATTCCCCACGCAGCAACCCGCTGCTCCCTGTCCGCCCCAGGCTCCGCTCACCGGTGGGTTTGGGTTGGGGATGTGCCCCGGCGGTGCAGGAAGGGTCTCCCCACAGTCTGAACAGTCCCTTGGCCATCCCTTCTTGTCCAGCTGCCGTCACTGCGCCCTCACCTGCCAGTTTGGGATCCCAGTTTGGGCTCAACTACCCGCTCCAACGAAGACCCCTATGTGACAGGCATAGGGGGGAGCTGGGGAGGGATCCCTGGGGTGGTGACGGTGGCAGGGAGGTGATGGGATGAGAGGAAGGAGCTTTCCCACCTCTTCCAGGCTCAGGTGTAGGAAAAAGCTGTCACAGGATGCTGGGGGGTTGCTCCTTGTTAGCAAATCCCTGAGGGCTGCTCTGCTTGGGATCCATCCGTGCCCACGTGGTCCGGTGATGCAGAGGGAAGATAAAGTGATAAAGAGGAGCTACCTGGAGCAAGTGCATCACGTCCCATGGGGTGAATTCAGTAGGACACAGGGTCAGAGTTCCCCCTGTGCCCCCAACAACCCTCCCCATTGCCAGAGAGGTTCAGAAAGCTCCTCTGGAGCGTTTTCCTTCCCTTGCTCGCTCTTCTTGCAGCGGCACTCTTTGCACCTTTGTTTTGCTGGTTTGCCTGCACTGCCTGCCCCTTGCAGGCGGCACAGATATCCCTTGCTCCGGCTTCCTCGCTGTTTGCCGGGCTCTGGCTGCTGGAGAGCTCATTAACTTTTAATAATGCCAGCTGCCTGCATAAGCCACTCGCTCGTCCCTTGCTCTGTTCTCTGTTGCACTAGAATAAATTGTTAATTAAACTGTGCACCGGCATCCCAAGGTGTTTGTCTGCTCTGAAGCTAAGGCCAGGTTTAAAAATTCACAGCAGCTACCAGAGATCAGTCACCGGCTGCTCTTAAAAGTCCTCGCTGAATCTGGCAAGGGGGATGGTGCTGGGTCCTGCATGAATTTTTGGGTTGAGCCTGGCAAGGCCAAGGAAGCGGGAGAGCTGTGGAGAGTGGCTGGTGAAGGAAAGAGCTGTGTCTCTGCTGGGAACCCAAACGTCACTCCACTGCAGATAATAAATAACGAGTGGTGTGTACAAAAGCCAGCCTAAGGGAGTTAGATGCTCAGCCCCTGTTGAGTTTCAAATGAGAATTCGGCTCTTAATTCAATTTAGGCCGCTTTGGATCAACAGGATCCAAATAACTATGTTTACTAATTGCATACAAATGCCGGCTCCATCTCAGGATACGCTCAGTGGCCTCAGCAGGAGCCTGGTGGCTTCTGAGACGCAGAGAAACGATAAAGGGCTCGTAAAACAGCACTGGGGGATGTTTCCTGGACTGACGCGACGTGCCGATGTATCGTAGCAGAGCAGAGCGACAGGGGATGCCTGCACTGCTCTGGATTCCCTGGCAGAAGTAAAAACCGATGGATGAGATGCACTAACACAAGTTTGGGGCTGAAATTCCCTTTTGGATGAGTTTTGAGCCTGGGAAGGCTCTGCCCAAGCTCTGCCCTGGGTTTAACACACTGGGATTTGCGGAGCTTGCTGAGGGCTGAGCTGGCCAGTCCATGCGATGGCACACAGATGTGTGATGCCAGCATCCCTTGTGGGGCAGAGACAGGGTCGAGCCCAGTGCAGAGGTGGTCGAAACCCAGGCTGGAGGCGAGCAGACGCTGCCCGGCGGTTTGGGACGGCTCTGGCAGGGAGAGCTGGGGTTTGGCTGCACCTACCGGCGTCAACATGCCCCCAAGCTCCCGAGCAATTACACAAACAAGGACACCTTCGCACATGCATCGAGTAATTTTGAATGTCATCCAGGCTGGCTGGTTAAACGCATCCCTGAGACGTTCCTAATAAAAAATTCATAAGCCTCTTATAAAGGCAATTATGCTTCTGCAAGGCAGCGAGGGGACAATACGTGACTAAATGAGTTAATGAAGGGCGTCGGAAGAGGAAGTGTTGCCTTCCAACAGGTGTGCCGAGCCCCTTCCCTTCGTGAAAGACTCATTTCACCAGCTTAATGAAGTATCCCCATCAATTTAGGTCCCCTCAGGAAAGAGCAAATTGACTCTCCTACTTCTTGTGGCCAGCGCCCAGGGGCTTGGGAGAGCTGCGAAGTGTCACGCGGAGACCTTGGGGACTTGCTCTGGGCTTCAGATAGGAAGTACCGGCAGTTTCATGTGGGCTTTGCCTAGTTTTTTAGGGGTTTTGGAGCAAGCTGTAGGAATTGCATCCTCATTTCCCAAAGGGAGAGGAGAGGGGGAAAGGCTTGGCCCTCAGAATAACCCTTCCCTTGCTCTGCTGCTTGTGTATTTGATGCTCACCCAATAAATTACGTTACCCCACGTCCATGACCTCTTTGCCAAGAGGATGGGAGGTGGTGGGAGGTACCCGAGACACCAAACCCCCCGTGGGGAGGAGCGTGTGTCCCCGCGGTGCGGGGCAGGAGGGCCTCAGCAAGCTCTGCGCTGCCCCAAATCGCAGCTGGGACCAGCACAGAGGGGGAGAGGTGGGTGGTGAAGCCAGAGAGGAGCAGGGAGGCTTTGGGAGAGACCAGGTTTGTTCTGCACCCCGTGTCGAGCCAGCGTGTGACCCCCAAGCCACTCGCTGAGTCGGTGACGGACCCTCCCCTGTCCCCCACTTGCAGCATGTGGAAGGTCTGAGCTCTCTCCCACCTTCGCCAGGACGCCATGGACACCGAAGGCGTGCAGCCCCAGGAGGCTTCGCTGACGGTCAACGAGCAGGTACAGGCATCGCCGGCTCCCTCCCTGCTGCACCCCACAGCCGGGAGGGCCAAGGAGT